TTCATGCCTTCATGCCCTCCCATTCTTTTCCCCTCCATCTTTGTCTTTCTCTCCACCTTCATGCCTTCATGCCCTCCCATTCTTTTCCCCTCCATCTTTGTCTTTCTCTCCACCTTCATGCCTTCATGCCCTCCCATTCTTTTCCCCTCCATCTTTGTCTTACCCTCCGCCTTCTTGTCTTCGTACCCTCCCCTTCCTTTCCCCTCCATCTTTGTCTTACCCTCCGCCTTCTTGTCTTCGTACCCTCCCCTTCCTTTTCCCTCCATCTTTGTCTTCCCCTCCCCCTCCCTGCCCAGATGCTGCAGCTGAAACTGTCCGTGTCTCCGACACCTAAACCGGTATCTAGCCGATCGTTGATGACCGACAGTTATCTTGGCGACAACTCCGATGAGGAGCTGGATGCTGAGATCAAGGACTCTGAGAACTTGGACCGTACGCTCTCTGAGATCATTGAGGGGAAGAGTCCCTCGCTGCCCGCTACGCCAAGTAGAGCCACAGACCCAGACAACAGCGGTCAAGACTTGTCGTTAACGGCAACTGATGGTGACGGTAGCAACGACAGGGGTGCTGTATGCAGCGCTGATACTGCGGGAGGTGAGGGTTCGAGTCTTTCGCACTCTGAGCCTTCTTGTGTTGATGACTTGTCGGGTGGGCAGGCTGTGTGCAGTGCTAGTGGTGGTGTGGAGGAGGCCTCGACAACAGCAACGATGTCATCCACGGTGATGAGTGGGGATGACGAAGCCTTTGCCACCGAGCCGACAACGGGTGCTACGGCTGACGCAGACTCAGGGGAGACTAATGTGATAGCTGCTTGTGATGATAATTCTCTGCCAAAGGAGAGCACTGGTGCCGGCAGCAGCAGTGACAGTGCTCAGTCCAAAGGTAAGAGTCATTTGCTCATGGGTGAAGGTCATTCGTTACATAACTCTCCAAAAATGCAAAGCAGGACTATCGGTCTGGATGAGAGGTTGAATCCGAATATCAGAAGCCCAAACCAGAAATTCCCAGAGGATTGGGAGTTGTATGATGAGGTGGTGGTGGTGGACCGCGCAAAGGGCACACAGGTCATGTGCCGCAACTCATCCGAAAGGGACACAACTCCACAACGAGCCGGCTCCCATGAAATCTCGGAGCGCGGCTGGAGTCCGGTAAGTGTTGTGAAGGGTTCCGGAACCTTGGGTCAACAGGACACTCTCCTTCATGGTCGTGGGACATCGTCCCAGCATCGTACACCACCTCAGGACAACAGCACATCGGGTTTGAAGAACACACCAAATGTAAAAAATTCACGGCCTAAATCTGTAGCAAACTCTGTGAGCCAGAGGGTTAAAGGTGCGGGGAAGGATGGTGCAGATGTGGCAGACCCGAGTGTAGAGGAAATTCCCGATATCGTGGTCATTTATGAACCTTCATGCAAAGTCCCTTCTCTCCTCTGCAGAGGTGATGGTGCAGATGATGATGATGATGATTTTGTGTTAAAAGAGAGTACTGTATAGTATTTGATATGTACCAGAAATGATGCCTAAATGTTGCATGTGCATGACGATGGATATTGCGTGGGATCTGTGTACATGGTCTGTTTGAATTAGAATGGAGATATGAATTGACACAGACAAACTTATTTGTCTATATTTGGACTTTTCCCACTTACCACGTATCTAGACTGTGGCTGTGTTCCTCTTTTTATTGCATTGGTTTTTTGGTTGCCGGCTCAAGAGTTTCTGTCAAACTTCTTTGACCTTTGGTGGAACAGTGACAATACCCCCCCCCT